TTATATTAATTTTGTGAAATTTGAATTTGTAGTTTCTGTTCTAATTTCTAAATTTTTCATTTTCAAATTTTGTTTAATTTTTTTATTTCCATTTCAGGTCTTGAACAGTTGTATTCATTTCCTTCCAGCGATTTTTTTTTACCTTGGATTTCTTTAAGTGATTTAATTATTCTTTTTCAAAGGACTGTTGTAGGAGTCCTCTTGTGTTTCCAGCTGCCCAGGCTCCCAAAACAACCACATAGAAACTATATTATTTGCACTACTGTTTGGCCAATAGTTTAAGCGTATTTCTGGCTAACTCTTGTATCCTAAAATAACACATCTCTATTAATTTGTGTATTGCCATGTGTCTGTGGCTTACCGGCAAAGTTTCAGCATGTCTGTCTCTGCTGGTGGCTCCATGGCTTCTGTGTCTGTGTCTGTGTCTCTGTCTCTGTCTCTCTCTCTCTCTCTCTCTCTCTCCTTTTTTTCTCTGAGCATTTAGTTTAGTTTTACATGCCAACCTCTATTCTGCCCTGCACAGACCCAAGACATATTCTTTATTAACCAATGCTATTCACAGCATACATAGGGGAATCTCACATTATAAGGACTTCTATCATCTTTATACATGGTATTTTTAAATGTCTTTTGCTTTTGCTACAAGGAATAAAAATGCTTATGTTGTTATATGTAAAGTAACCCAATCATATGTAAATCTGTTCTTGATTTTTGAATAAAACCAATTCCATTTTCCATAATAGCCACACCCCCACTGACTCTGTATAGCAGTTTCTTTTCCTCTATCCTTGGCAGAATTATTTTTATTGTTGTTGTTGATGTTTAGTCCTCTTTGATAATAGCCACTTGTTATCTCTGAGGTAGAATGTCTGCCAAAGAACCTTATCAGTGGATAAGTTTAATTTTGCTCAGCATTATGAATAACTCAGTTTCTCTTGGCAGAGAAGTCATGGCTATCAGCAGGTACAGGTGTCTGCAACTCCGGCATCATCTTCTGTCTTGTTGGAGTAGAAAGCAGTGAGGAGATATTGGGGCTAGGGTCTGATATTCTCAGCTGTCCTGGTGGGGGCATACTCTCTCCAGGTAGCACTCCTCCCTGACAGTTTCCAAATCTCCACAAACAGGACCAAGGAGCAACCAACTAGCTGAACTTGTGGAGAGAAATTTATGTTTAGACCATAACATCATTCTCACTGGTATTAGGGGTATCTCATTGTAGCATTTATTTGCATTTTCATAATGATTAATTGTTTTTCACATTTTTTATTATTTCCCAGATATTTTTTATATTTGTTGATACATATTCAGATTATATGTCCAATTTTAATATGATTACCTTTGTGTTGTTACATTTCTTCAGAATCTTACCCATTTTGTGTGTTGATCATTGGACAGAAGACTATGTGGTAAAGGCTTCCTCCCATTCTACAGGTTACGTTTTCAATCCAGTGGTTGTTTTCTTTCCTGCACAGAAGCCTCTAGGTTTTTAAATGATCACACTTATCTACATTGCTTCTGTTTTCTTTACCTTTGAAGTCATAGATGAAAAAGATCATTGCTCATACTGATACAGGGAAGCCTTTTTGTTCTTTCTTAGTAAATTTGCGGTTTCTGGCCTTACTTTTACATTTTAATCACATTTGAGTAGGCTTTTTCTACAGAATGAAATTTGAGGTCAAATTACAGTTTTGTGCATGTGGACATCCATATACAGAAGAATACTTTTTGACTCTTTATCAAAAATCAGCTTGCTATAGATGACTGATTTTTTTTTTTTTTGGAATACCTGCATTGCTTTACCCTTGTCTGACTGGACTCTGTGTCTTCCTTTCTGTCTATGTCATTCTGCTTTGTCTTACTGTGGTTCGGTAGAATGTCCTGATATCAGGTATACTGACACCTCCAGATTTGCTGTGTTATAGATTAATTCAACTTATTGACAACTTTTTCCTGCCTTATGAATTTCAATATTGCTTTTAAAAGCTCTGAAATAGCGTCTCTAGTGTTTTTGTTGAGGTTGTATTGAATATATAGATTACTTTAGCATTTTCTAGCATTAATTCTTCTATCACGATCATGTATGATCTTTTCCCTTTTTTGTATATGTGTGTACTTCAAATATTGCTCTTAATAATAAAAACCCAAAGTCAGGTATCAGGGTAAACGCTAAAAGATCAGAGAAGTAAAGGACCAGTCAGTGTCGCCATGATTCTCAAACAGAAAAGGGACTGAGTCCCTATCTCTTCCTTCCTTATATTCCTCTCTCTGCCCAGCCATATGACTTTCAGTCTGTCTGTACAGACCTCCAGAACTCTGTGGTTAACTAGTAGCTAGTTCTGTCCTCTGATCTTCAGGCAAGCTTTATTTGTTTAAGTATAAACAAGAAATCACCACAATGTTTTACAACTGTCATCGTAGAATTTCTTCATTATCAAGGTTAAACTTATTTCTGGGCATTTTCTCTATAGCTGTTTTATTGTGAGTTCTTCCATGATTTCTTTCACAAAAAAAGCTCATTTGGTTAATTGAATGTTATTAAGATTTATGGATCAGTTTTTTAATTTACAAATTTCCTGAATTAAGGTATTGGTTTTAACATTACTTTAATATTACCTTTATGTTTTTCTATACGTGAAAGCATATAATCTTTAAACAGTGACAAATTTGACCCTGTCCTGTACTTATCATTTACATATGTTTTATCTAAATCAAAAATTGGATTTGTAGACTAAAACGTTGTGGCAAAATTATAAGTGATTCAGGAATTCATTTCACAGCTATGCCTAAATATTTCATAAAGAAAATTGAATGCGACCTATCTGTATTAATAACATTCGGGGAAATTGACAGATGTATAATGCTAATGCATGAAGGCTATGTTTATGTATGAGACATTTAGTTCAATAATTTATAAATTCAATGCACTAATACTCAATAACATGGCATATGTATTTTATATATGTATGTNNNNATATATATATATTGGTTTTTCAAGACAGGGTTTCTCTGTAGCTTTGGAGCCTTTCCTGGAACTCCCTTCGTAGACCAGGTTAGCCTCGAACTCACAGAGATCCGCCTGCCTCTGCCTCCCGAGTATTTTATATTTTAAAGAATAACAAATTTTGTACATGCATTCAAATGAATCATATTTATAGGGCAGACTACTTGACAATTGGTTATCTGTGTGTATAAATACATATATATTAAAGAAATATTTTCTATGGCTTAAGTAATGAAAAGAATATTGTTCAGTGTATGTTATGATGAATGTAAGAATTCCTGTCTCATATTATATAACACAGATACTTTGCAGGATTTAGAGTTCTTTAGAGAAATTAAAAAGTAAATGTTGACAGAGAATATATGTATAAAACAGAAGTGGAAATGTGTTCTAAGTAAGATTTAACTATTGTAAAACACAGAATAAAAGTTAATAGGTCAGATAATATAAAGTCAAGAATGTTTGTTTTGTGAATGAATCTATAGTATATGAGTGTTGGCTACTTAAATAGAAGAAGGTAATACTAAGAATGAATTGGTAATTCTTAGGAAATCTACCCAATCCATAAGGAGGTATAGTAGAATAGCACACATAAACACACAAATTGGACTTCTAAATTATATAAAGAAATCACATATTTTTGTGTATTTATGTATATGTAGATATTCACATATGTTCACATTCACATGCAAATGAATACACATACATATGAAATTCAGATGGCTCAGGTGTCATTCCTCAGGTACTATACATGGTTTGTTTCTTTGTCTTTTTACTTTTTTGAGAGACACAATGAACTGGAACTTGCTACATAGGCTAGAGTAGCTTACCAGTAGGTCTCAGGGACCATCCTTGCCATTTCCATTTCTCAACACTGATATTATGAGTGTTTGCAATTGTGCTTGGCCTTTTGTATTTTAGTTGATAGACTGAGTTCAGGTCCTTGAGCAGAACAAGCACTTTGCCAACTGATATACTTTCCAGCATCCCCAAATTCACATATATATTTGAAAATATAGAAAGACAAAAGAAATACTATCTTATGTATTTCTGTATGACAAAATTCTTGAGGTCTACAAATGTTAGCAAAGGTTATCAAGTGTTTCTAATTATGTGATCTATGCCACTGATAAGTAAAACTGTTTTCTGTCATGCTACTAAGTTTTGTCGTGCAGAAAACGTTTTTACTTATCAGTGCAAAATTAGTATGAGGTTTTTCCTCTCAGCTGTACATGGGGTGACTAGTGTGCTCACAATCTGAAGGATGGATTTATCTCAAGGCTTCTTTGCTCTAATATTGGCATTATTACTGGCTACATTTTAGAACACTCACACACAGTCTTGTTGACAATTGTAAGGCCTTCCCATGCTCAGGGACCTATTGATGCAATCATACATGTCTGCAAAAGCCTGCCGAATATGAGATGTTGTTCTTATGAATCTTAGAATATATGTTGTGTTTCTAGGAAACTAGACTCTCTGGTATTAAAGTATTATTATAAAAAGATAAAACCTAAAGAAAAATTTGGATCAAAAATGAAATAAATTACTCATAAACTCAATATAAAAAATCCTTCCAAGGATGTACAATTCTAAAGATACTTTGTCATAGGACATCAAGAGTACATGCATAGGGGTTTTTATTGTAACCATATACATTGGGGAGTTGAAGGTGACATAAGTATTTAGGATCAATAAGTACATTGCAATCACATGATGCAAAATTACAGTGTCCACCAGCTGAGTCAATAAAATTCAAAATGAGTGTTTCTAAAGGGGCACTGAGAGATATTTTCAACAAGCTAATAGATCCAGAGATAAAAGCTATTTTGGCCATATAGAAGAACCAAACTACAAATCTCTTATGGAATGTGTCTTTTATGGAATTATATAGTTTTGTTTGCATAAGTCTGTTTTGACAGTAGAAAGATACTTCCGCAGGTTGGTCGTTAGCATCTAAAGACATCAAATGATTGTGATATGACCTGTTCTCTTTCAGTGTCTGGTCTGCAACCCGCTGCTGTTGTGCTGCTCTCTGTACAAAACCATGGAGTCCGTGAATTTTAAGGAAACTAGTCAATTTGTGCAACTATATTTAGAAAATCAGTTTTTGTTAACGCCCTCAGCTGCCACTAAGCTCACAGGTAGATTTTTCTTCTTACTGTGCTGATTTTTAAAATTTCCATGATGTTTATATTTAAGTGTGTTATGTATATTTAAGAAAAATGTCATGTAAGCAGAGGACACAGGGTGCAGTGTAGTTGAATGTCACTTGCAGAAACTATATAAACGTGACCACGCTACACTAGGTTAATATTTTTAATACATAAAACTTCACAATGTTGTTTTTATAGCTCACTATGTTCTAGCCTCTTCCTCTATATGCCTGCATATTTCTTTTACCCTTCTCTTTAGGAAACCAGCCTTCTCAAGCCACAATGTGTCTTTTTTTTACATGCTTCTACACATTTCATCTTGTGGGTCAGTATTAAAGTCTTTTCTAAAACAGTCATATAATTCCCTATTTATTCTTCTATTTCTTTTACCAGAAAATATATTTTCTGGATACACATTGATTTGAACTTAATGCATTGTAATTATTCCATGGTACTGCTTATGCCCTAACTGACAGAGATATGTCACTGTTTATGTACATATAATTATATATCCATTATCATGCTAAATTAATTTTAATTATTCTGAACAGTGTCACAAGGCATAAGCTCTTTGATAATGATTCGTATTTGTAAATGTTTTTTGTGTTTTGACACTAAAAAGTAATTGGTATTGTTTACATTTTTAATCTTAAAAGAGAATTGAGAATTTTGCTCTTTAAAAGACTTCTATAAAATAGCTCTAAATGGAAGCATCAAAAGATTCTATAAAAATAGAAAAGTGATGAAAATAAAGTTGCATTATAGCCTATAAAACTTCAAGCAGTTTTTCAGGACAACTAGGGCTACACAGAGAAACCCTGTCTCAAAAAGAAAAAGAAAATCAAGAAAACAAATGAAAAACAATATAAAACGAACAAAAAATCAAGATGGTTTGTTATAGCATTTAGTGTAACCTGTGAAGGCACAGTTAAAAATATTTGCATTAATGTTTAATTATACAGAGGGAAAGAAAAATATAGTAAGGAATGAACACAAAAAGAATATGGGAAAAAACAAAAACCAATCTTCATAAGTGCATAACCCTGATCATCAGCAGATTATTGAGCAGATTTTCTTGTTCAGTCTCAGATTTCATGGTATGTTTATATATTGATTGTTTCATCTACCTAAATCCTCAGCCCGCGTATAATAGATGTATTAACAATTGCACACTCTACCTTTGGCTTAGTAAGGATGAACTTTCATGCAATTTTTGTATCAATAGCAATGCCTTAGATTCCTCTAATCTAATATCTAACCTAATATCAGTCTGCAGGCAGAGTGAAAGGCTTCTATGCCAAAGCTTTGACTTTGTCAAGTGCCTCATAGTAAGTTATATTGCGTTTTGGGAAACTGTCTACTTTAGAGAGTATTGTCCTTAGGATTTCTGAGAAAATCTCCTAGAAGAGTTTTCCTCCATTCCTCTTAGTCTTTTGTCTCATAAAACCACCTCTCACAAAGAGCTGTTGCTTAGGGAGTGATTTGATTCTTAGCTCTCTAAGAGAGTCTCTCTCACTATTAGCTGCTAATAACTTCATGACGTAGATGTTCTTGCCCAACTCCTATTGTCATGCTGGGATGAGGTCTCACTCTGGCTTGCACAGGTTTTGTGGATACTATTGCAACCTCTGTGCCTTCATATGTGCCTCTGCCTTGGTGTGTTCATAAGATGCTGTTTCTTTGTAGCTACCCACTGTCTGGATTTTTACACTCTTTCTGTTTCCTGTTCCCCAATGATCATTGGGCCTTGGGAAGAGGGGCTGTAGTGTATTTCTTCCATTCAGAGCCAATAATTCTTCAGTTGCTTTCTTCTTTGTCTTTTTGAATGAGATGTTATTACATTCAGAATGTCTCTATTTCCTACACTATCATTCATGTCCCTATTACAGCAGTAGATACATCTTGCCATGACACTCATTCATAGTTCTTGGAGTTAACACCTTGGTATGGGTAATAACTACTGTTCTCTTCCAGTAGTGTTTGTAGGAACTTCTGCATTATGAAAGCTAGTCATGGGTTGAAGCATCCATGTCAGTACCAGTTGAATTTCTCCATGTTTTGTAAATCAGGTTAATGATTTCTTCAGAAACAGGGATTTATTGTCAAAATCAGTGAGTAAGCAAGAACAAGGGCAAAAATCTGGGATGTTTGGGGGCTTTGTAAGGCCTTATTGTCCAACAATTCTAACCAATTTTTCTGAGGCACAATTCCGACAAAAATGTGTAAGGGGGCTAGGCAATATCTGTACTCATAGTGAACTGTGATCTAGAAAACACAGGGCACGGTACCATGACTTCTCTTAGGACTGGAGAGGGAGGGGAGAGGGGGAGTAGGGAAAGTGGGAAAGAAATGGGAGGAAAGGAGGATGTGGAAATTTTTAATAAATAAATAGAAAACAGAAACAAAAGAAAAACCCAAATCCTAAACTTAGAGACCTCAAATTTTTTAATAATTAAATCACTCGTCATTCTCGTTATTTTCTTAGAAGAGGTTATTATTATACATGATAACACAATTTTATCTTAGTTGTGGAATGAATATTGTCTTTGTCATCTAAAATCATAAGCTAAATTTGCTTTGCTCTGAAGTCAGAGATAAAATCTCTATCATCTCTTCCTGTTGACAGTAAAAATAAATGTTAGCAAAGAGTTTAGAAAAAAGAACTGCTTCAGTATTCAGTATGTAAATAAGATTAAGGCTTATAGGGGGAAATTATTTAACAAATACACTTGAAGTTATACAATATAGGAAGAGACTAAACATTGTCATAATGGGAAGAAGTTGCAATATATATTGCCCAAATGAAGCTTTATTTAAATATGGAGACAAATATTGAAAGGAAGAAGATGCAAAACACATGTATAGCCTATGTAAACATCGACCAGGATTAATGCTGGTTAAACCACAGTAATTTTAGGTGCAATGATAATGCAAGCAAGATTTATAGATATTAGTGATCATTCATGTCAATAAGTGTATATTATAAAATTATAAGTGGACATGCATCAATAACATTGTTTTAATAGATATAAAACAAAAACCATATAAAATAAATTAAATGACCCTCATGTAACTCCTGTTTCTTCTCTACTTCTCTCTCTCTTTCAGTTAGTTGCTAGAGTTTTTCATTCACATCTGGTATTCTAAAGGAAAAATTACTTTCTCACGAAGGTTCTAATTGTCCACTAGTCTGAAGTCCCTTAAATTAATCCCAGTCCATGATAATTACTTGGAAATTATTGCTCACACTATATATTTCACTTTCTTTTAAATATATTCATAATGGCTATATAAAATATCCATATTTACTTTCCATGATATGTTTCTAAACATAAAACAAAACTGCATTTACATCTACTAACAAGTTTATTATGGATGTGTTTTTATATACTTAATTTAATGACCTCATAGTTTGAGAAAGTGTATATATATATATACTTTATATACATATATATAGTATTTATTTACCATTTCTGTTTTTATGTATGTATGTGTGCAATGTCTTGCAATAACACACACTTGGAAGTATGGACACATCTTAGGGGAGGTATCTTTTCCTTCTACCATGTGAGGCCCAGGGATTGGCAGCATGCCTCTATATTCTTCTCGTTAGCTTGAATTAATCTATTGGTAAAGCTTTTGACTAAATTTGTTAGTTGAGATGGGATGTAATGCAGCCTAGACTGGGCTTGAGTTGAACTTGATCTGCAACTGAGGCTTCAAGTCTTCTTCCTTCTACTTGTAGGTGCTCTTTGCCATTTATATCCAGTTTAATTGGTTTTGTTTCAGTTTATCAAGCTTTCATTTCGAAGCTTTGGGTTTGTTTCATAATCTCTCTTTATTGAGTTTCTTTCTCTTATTTTTAATTATCTTCATTAACTTATACTGTTCATCTGTTATGAATTGCTACTTTTCATATTTTTTCATACTGAATTTCCTCATAAGCTCATATGGACAGTTCTTTATTTTATATGAATGGATTTCATAATATGCTGAATTATTCTTTCAGTGTGACTTAGAAATAATTGATTTCTTTTTTATTTAAGGTTGTGTTTATTTACAAAATATTTTATAATGCAATGTATTTCTATGTTCATTGTTTGTGATCACAGTTTGGCAGCAGGGATTACCATGCCCAAGATCAGAGTAAAACATCATTTTTGCAAATCATGATAGGGTGGAAAAACTCTGTCATTTCAAGCATGATGTATGCTGTATATATGTTTTATTACATTGGTTAATAAAGATGTTGTTTTGGTCAGTAGCTTAGCAGAATAAATTCAGGCAGGAAAACTGAACAGAGATATAGAGAGTAGGCAGAATCAGGGTAATGCCACGTAGCTGCCAATGAATAGGACATAGAAAACTTACCAGTAGACCAGAGCCTCATTGCAGTACATAGATTAATAGAAATGGGTTGACTTAAGATGTAAGTGCTAGCTAAGAATATGCTTGAGCCATTGACCAAACAGTCTTGTAATTAATATAGCTTCTATGTGATTATTCAGGTCTGGGTGGCTGGGAAATACAAATGCTATCTCTGCAGCATTTGTATTTCCCAGATGAGGAGGCATCATAAGTTTTGGTATACATTCTCAATGGTGACTCCTCCTAGAGCCATAATAGTTAGGATGCACAGACTTCCAAAGACCCCATTCACAGTAAATTTGTTATTCACAAATAATTCTTAGGTTGGTTGCTATATTCGTGTTGGAGGGTCTATGGGATAGCTGAAGGTGCTTCATGGTGATTGTTAACAATTAGAATCATAGATTTCACTGTGTGACATTCTATAATTAGACTTACCTGTCACATACAGTCTGTCCTGCTATCGCTCTGGTGTTGAATATAGACGTAGAGGTGGTCAATTATGTTTTGATCTCTATTGCCCAAGAACTAACTTCAGCTGTAAAGGGAAACTACACACTCATTTCCCTACTGCCTACACTCGAACAATCAGGCATACTTCTAGTTAGCTCTTACAGCTT